AAATGTTCTTCCATATTTTCCAAGTTTTCGAATGAACTCTCTCTCTCTCTCTTTGAGAACACGCGCGCGTGATCCGTATGGTTTCGCGAATTTCGAGAGGTTGTAGGTGTGCGCACACGTCGGGAAACGGAGACGGAGGGATGGTGGATAATATAATGATGGCGTCGGCTGGGCGAGGAGGGGCGGGGCTACGAGGGGATCAATATTATCCTCCTCCACCTCCGTTTCCTCGTCCATGCGTCTCTCCTTTTCGCTCTCCCGTTGCGTTCTCAGTCTCTCCGTCTCTCTATGTACACCCACGACTAACCTTCCCTCAGACTCCCCCCTTCGGGTTTCCCCTCCGACGCGACCACCATCACCATCTCTACCCTACGCGAATGTCAGGTTCCTCTCCCTTCTACAACGTTCCACCTCCTTCGGCTCGGTCCTCCTTCGGTCTCTCTTTCTCTTTCTTCTTCCTTTTCCTTCGTCTCGCAAAGAACGCGGATCTTGTATCGGCTCACGCGAGTTTCGCGCGAAGAATAGTCGGGATCGTTAATCTGGTTGTATAAAAAATTTAAATAAATTAATATGATTTTACACGTTATGCGCGGAGATTTACATGTTGCGCGTTTACACGCGCCGTACGTTCATCTTTTCTTTTCTCTACATCTTTAAAATTTACAACATATATATATATATATCAATGCAGAATATATAAAATAAATGTTAAAAGAATTCTATATGTATCTAATAATTATTGTTCTTTGCAGATTCTTATTATATATATATAAGTTTATACACTTGAATTTAATCAAATTATTTAGAATTTATCAAAGCAAAGTGATCTAGATTAGGTATCTAGATTTTTTGCAAGTGCGCTCGTCGGCTAATTTTTCGCACTGGAAAACGATAATCGTAAATGTCGAAGCAAATCGAAATTTTTCAGTCTTTTTGCAGTTTCCGATCATCAGATATCCAATCTAGGCATAGAAACTAGTTATGAAATTACGATTACAAATACCGATATATGTAATGTTACACCGAAAAAATTGTATTCTCTTGTTTTGAAGATATTCCACTTACTTTAAGTATATTTTATACTAAAATAGGCGCCAAGAAGAGTTTCTTATTTTAAGAAGACAATCCTCTAAATAGTAATATTGATAAGAATATATACTGATTAGAATAAAAAAAGCCTCTATAGAAAAATAGAGAGATATATAACATATATATCTCACTATCGAAAAAGACTATATTCTTAAATTAAGAATATATTTTTAAATAAAGAATATATTCTTAAATAAAGAATATATTCTTAAATAAAGAATATATTCTTAATTTCAGATGAATATCATCTAAAATCTTTAAGAAGATTTTTTAAATATAAAATCTTCTACTTGCAAGAATATAATTTTTTCGGTGTGGGAAATTTGAAACAACCAGAAAGCCATGATATAGCCTTTTTATCTCATATTGTTTGTCATATTTAATTAACAAGCATATTCTACATTGAAATTTTGAATCAATGTTATAAAAAAAATTATTATGCAGTAATTCACTAACCATAAATACTAATTGACTTTCTAATCCACGTATAAATAGCGCTAGAAATCGGTGATATAAAACAGGGCGAGAAACGGCCCCGGCCCGACGCGATAACGTTTGGAAACTGTTTCGCTTAAATAGGCCTTATTCAAGAGTCGGAGAGGTTCCAAGTACCTAAGACTCTCTCTTGACCGAGGAACTAACGGCGCGGCGTGGCGCGCAACTTCTGAGCGCAATGGAACAAATCGCGGTTGCCCAGAGCTCGATGTTAAGTCACGGGGATTACCGCGGACGAGCCGGTGCGGTGTTCGAGGGTGTCTATGTAGCTACGTAGACGTATGTGCGGCACCGAAGAAGACGACCGGCGGCAGGGAAAAGCGACGCCGGCGATGGGACGGGACATGGGGCAGTGGGAAGGAAGGGGAAAGAAGCATAGGGGGTGTGATTGATGAGACACCCCCGGTCACGGTCTCATTACATTTATATAAGCTTTCGTAGATTGAGCCGAGCGCACGCGAGCGAACGAACGAAGGCTTACACGGTGGCGAGGGGTCGTGATTTGATGAGGTTTTATTGCCCGAATGACGTGACGGGGGCCATTGTTCTCCGCGCCGCGCCGGTTGCCAGGCGGAAAACACTGGATTCGATTTATCGCATCTACCAGACCGCTACTCTCTCTCGGACCACCGTAACTTCTTCGATGTTCTCGGCACTGTCGGCGAATCGCTCCGATACGTTGCTTTTCTACTACGATTAATTGTGCGAAAAGAACTGCAGACGTACGATGGGCAGATGTCTCTTTTTACAATATCGTGCTATTTTTTCTACTCTCGAAAGTTACGATCGCGGAAATCATATATATATATATATATATATAATGGTAAAATAGATTTTACACGTGCAATGCAGCTTGTTGCTTCGATATTTTGTGGACACTCGTCGCGAATTGGATTGGAAATGGCTATTAATGAGATTAACATAATGTGCTGATTAATTGCGTTATGAATTATTATCAGAACGCGATACACACATATTGTTGTTGGTACGCATTTACGTCGTATCCCGGTGTATTCCCAGTGACTTCCCACGCGATTCGCGAATTCGTTCGGGTTGAAATGTTGAAACACAAAGTCGGAATCAAGCGATAGTTTTTGCTCGCGATTTTCGCGCGTTATATATTCGTCAAATTTACGACCTTTTTTTGTGAATCACAGGAGCATTAGATATATTATTATCTTCTACATATCGCGGCTATTTCACCCATATATAGTATATATCGCTCGAGATTCCGCGTTGCCGTTAAAACTTTATGGGCGCGGCACCTTGTGTGTATACACCGTGCCGCCTTTACGCGAGAGAGAGTTTATTGATTCTCGAGTCGCGGCATCTTTCGCCCGCCAGTACCTACCATTCTGTCCTCTATCGAGTTTACTCCCTCCTGGGCTTACCACTGTCGTCCATGGTGTGTCGCGACTACAGTTACTCCCGCGCCCGCTTCGTAAAATTCAATGATGTTTCTCGCGTGGTTTCTTGCGAACGTGAGAGAGAAAATATTTCTATATGTAAATTTTTTTCGCGTAATTTCAAGAGCCAAAATAAATCCCTTCGCGAAAAGTAAAACAGTAGATAAAATATCGCTATCGCGCCGTACAAATAGTTATAAAATACTACAATATGTGCTTCTTCACAATTATTTACTTTTTTTTGACATTTTATTTTATTTTATTTTTTTTTTCAGAAAAATGGCCTGAATTATAAATGCGCGTTTTTGGCTTCAAAAGACGCGGCGATATATATCGCGTAAATCAACAGACTCTATTCTGTGTGTAATTACTTTTTTTTTTAATAATTTTTTTACTTTTTTCTACCAGTCATCACAATCGAGATTACTAGCAAATTCGGTTCTGTCGCGCGCGCGCTACGTTTCAAGAATAATCGTCGAGAGAGGAAAGGACATTATTCTTCATTAGCTAGTCTTCCGCTCCCACTTTCAATGACCCGTCGCGCCTCTTAGCGTTTCCACGGCGTGATCGTAGGGCCATCCATCTTACGGAATATTCTCCCGACCTTCTTCAGAGAGCGCGTTGCGCTCTCACCCTCGAAATATCTTCCTTCCTCTGGTTTCTGCCTTCCCTATCTTCAAAAACCCGACCGTCCCTCTGCTGAATACTTACTCACGATCGTTCGTATGTCGCATTTTCCCTCGCTCCTTGCCTTACAGTTACGCCAGAGCGACGTGTATCTGAGCGCAACCGCCCGTATAATTGTTAGAACGAACGGGGCTGTTCGTTCGAGAAAGAGAGACCGTATCTTCGAAAGACACCGGCTGGGTTGAAAAGTAAGCAAAAAAAAAAAGAGGATGGAAAACGACTGACGAGGTTCGCCATTGCCATTGAGCGCAAAAGAAGAGGGCTGCCTTGAATTAACGCCGTCATATTTCAGGATGGAGGAGCTCGGGAGGAGCTCTTCTTGCTATTTGTCTCGGAACTTGCCTTGCTGTTTATCGCGAAGCAAACTGCCGCCCGCGTTATTTTCTTCGTTTGTGACTAATAACACGTGACGTACGAGCGCAATTGTGAAATCTACGCGTTGCTTTTTTCCTTCTTTCTCTAGTTTTCGATGTACGAGCTTACGATACATGTTAACAGTAAAATCTGAAAAGCAGAAAGTAGCTGTTTACCGTGAAAAAAAACAAACTGTCACTTAAAATCATTTTGCATTTGAAGAATAAAATATCGAGGCTAAGATTCATACTTTTTTTATCAAATTTCTACACCGAAAAAATTATATTCTCGTAAGTAGAAGATTTTATACTTAAAAAATCTTCTTAAAGATTTTAGATGATATTCTTCTGAAATTAAGAATATATTCTTAATTTTAAAAATATAGTCTTTTTCGATAGTGAGATATATATGTTTTTCTATAGAGGCTTTTTATATTCTAATCAGCATATATTCTTATCAATATTACTATTTAGAGGATTTTCCTCTTAAAATAAGAAACTCTTCTTGGCGCCTATTTTAGTATAAAATATACTTAAAGTAAGTGGGATATCCTCAAAACAAGAATACAATTTTTTCGG